ATTTTGTGCCAGTGAATCAGTCTGCTGATTCCACCATCACTCCCAAGGAGAAGGACAGCAAGAGTTACTAATTCAATAACTCAAACTGGATCAGATTCTGCAAGAATCCCTGCAACCTGATGGAAAGAAGCCCTGAGTGTGAGTTAGTTTCGGTACTGCAGTGGAAGATTCATAGGAGTTGTTGGGGTGTGATCACTCAGACTCTCTGGCAAAGAAGCTACATGTGAATCTCATACACACTGTCTCATTGGAATATTTAATCTGTGTTTCCACTGGATACCTTATAGGTTAGTTTTTCATTTCTTGATTTATTTAGTAGTATGGGGTTATGATTTTTATTTGTGTGTGTGTTTATTAGATTTTTACTTTTGTGTAGTTTTTCTTCTATTGACTCTGGTTTAATAGGTATCTAGGTTCTCTTCCTCATCCCAGCTCCCTAACTAACTTCTTCATCTCAACCCCCCCAAACAGTACTGTTACCATATTTCTTTATTCTTTTTCCAAATACATAAATTCCTCCTCCCAAGTTTTTAATTTGTCACACTTAGCTCCCCAACAATCACTCCTTCCATCTCTAGTATTAACCTTCAGTCTTTCCCTTAGCTCACCAAGGCATATCCTTATTAAATTACCAGATATCTAGCAAAAAACCCAAAATTTAAAAGTAGCCAGAGAAAAACAAAAATCACTTATAAAGGCAAACCAATTAGAATCACAGCAGACTTCTCACCACAAACCCTGAAGGCAAAGAGAAGTATTGCAGTGAAGTACTGCAAACCCTAAGTGCAAATAACTTCCAACCCAGAGTAACTAATCCAGCAAAACTATCCTTCAAAATAGATGGAGAAATAAGGTATTTCCATTAAGAAAGACCAGCTAAAAAATATATGACTCCTAAAACTGCTCTTGAGAAAATACTTAAGAATATTCTTGACAGAAATCACAAAATGGACACAGCTAAAAACACAGAGGAAATTAGTAAGATCAATGGATAAACAGCAAAAATAAATATCAGGAAATGAAAAAAGATTCACTAACAGATAAAGAAGGCAATGATAGTAAATAACCAACCCATCTCAGCAATATCTCTCAACATTAATGGCCTTGACTCTCCAATTAAGACATAGATTGGCAGACTAGATTAAAAAAAAAACAACAGAATCCAACAGTCTGATGCATTCAAGAAACTCATCTAATCCAAAAAGATATTCATAGATTAAAAATTCAAGGATGGGAAACAACATTTCATGCACCAGGACCTCCAAAATCAGCCGGGGTAGCAATTCTAATATTAGACACAGTAAAATTCAAGGTAAAACAGATTAGAAGAGACAGAGAAGTCACTACAAACTACTTAATGGAACAGTCTAAAAAGAAGAGATAACATTGATAAACATATATGTGCCAAATACTGGAGCTGGTATATATTCGTAAAACTACTAAAATTAAAAGATCAACTAAACATTAACACAGTCATAGTAGGGGAATTTTAATACCACACTTTTGCAAAGAGATAGATTAACTAAACAAACAAACAAAAATCAATAAAGAAATATCAGAGCTGAATCACACCCTTGAACATATGGACTTAATAGATATATACAGAGTATTTTACCCCTCTACAATAGAGTATACATTCTTTTCAGAAGCACAAGTTACTTTTTCCAAAATAGATCATAGACTAATCTACAAAACCAGCTTAAATAAATATAAAAGAATTGAATATCCCCCATGGATAGTATCGACCACTTTGAAATGAATACAGAAATCAATGACAAAAGAAATTTTGGAAAAAGAAAAACCTCCTGGAAAATGAACAACATTTTTCTAAACCAATGGGTCACAGAAGAAATTTTAAAATATCTGGAAATAATAACAATGACTGTACAGCTCAACAAAACCTCTAGGACGCTATGTAAGCAGTTCTAAGAGGAAAATTCATCACAATCAATGCTTACATGAGGAAAACAGAGCAAGCCCAAATAAATAACCTATGAGAAATCTTTAGATACTTGAGAAACTGTAACAAAACACCCCTAAACTGAAATCAAGGGAAATTATAAAGACAAGAGTAGAAATCAATGTAATTGAAACTGAAATAACTGTTAAAAATCAACAAATTGAGTTGGTTCTTCAAAAGATTAAATAAAACAGGTAAGTCCTTAGCTAGACTCACCAAGAGAAAGAGAGGAAGTGCAATTAGAAATCAAAAAGGTGAAATTACAAGAGACACTGTCAAAATCCAGAAGACAGTAACTATTTTAAAAAATTGTATTCCAACAAATTAGCAAATTTTGAATGGACAGATTCCTTGACACACACGAACTTCTAAAACTAACTGAAGAAGACATAAATATGTTTAACAATCCAACAAAAAGCAATGAAATTGATACAATAATAAAGAATCTACCAACTAAAAAAAGCCTATGACCTGATGGATTCACTGCTGAATTCTATAAAATCTTTAAGGATGTCATATCATCAATACTCCTCAAGCTCTTCAAAGAAATTGAAAGGGATAGAGTACTTCCAAATTCATTCATGGAAGCCAGTATCACCCTGATCCTCAAACTGGATAAAGACCCAACTAAAGAGAAATATAGGCCAATCTTCTTAATGAACATAGATGCAAAAATACTTAACAAGATATTAGCAAATAGAATGTAGCACATTATCTAAAAAATGATACATCATTACAAGTAGGTTCATCCCAGAGATGCAAGAATGACTCAACATATGTAAGTCAGTAAATGTAATACATCACATAGACAGGAGCAAGGTTAAAAAACAATATAATCGGGCCAGGGTTTTAGCTCGGTGGTTCCACCACCTGCCTTGCAAGCGCAAGGTCCTGAGTTCGATCCCCAGTATCAACAAACAAACAAACAAACAAAAACAAAACAAACAAACAAAAAACAATATGATCATATCAATAGATTCAGAAAAGGCTTTTGACAAAATTCAGCCTCCTTAATAATAAAAACCCTGAAGAAATTAGGTATAGAAGGACCATATCTGAATTTGATAAAGGGTATTTATGACAAACTATTAGCTAGCATCATACTAAATGGGGAAAACCCAAAAGCATTGGCCTCTAAAATCAGGAACAAGACAAGGATGTCCATTATCACCTCTTCTATTCAACATAGTACTTGAAACATTAGTCAGAGCAATTAGGCAAGAGGAAGAAATAAAGGGGCTATATAGAGGAAAGGAAGAACTCATTATTTGCAGATAACATGATACTCTACATAGAAGACCCAAAGAACTCTACCAAAAACCTCTTGGAATTAATAATCAACTTTAGCAGTGTAACAGGATACAAGATCAACACACAAAAATCATTAGCATTTGTGTACACCAACAATGAATGGGATGAGAAGGAAATTGTGAAAATAATACAGTAACTTCAGGAAAAATGAAACCTAACCAAGGAAGTTACAAAGAAAAACTACAGTACTCTGAAGAAGGAGATTGAAGAGGACATCAGAAAATGGAAAGATATGTCCTGCTCCTGGATAGACAAAACCAATATTGTCAAAATGGACATACTTCCAAAAATGTTGTACAGATTCAATGCTGTCCCAGTCAAAATAACAACAGCATACTTTACAGAGCTAGAGAAAACAATACTAAAATTCATATGGAGCCAGAAGAGAACCCAGAATAGCAAAAGTAATTTTGGGCAATAAGAGCAAAGCTAGACGCATAGCAGTCCCTGACTTCAAGCTCTACCAGAAAGCAATAGTGATAAAAATGGCATGGTACTGGAACAAAAACATATATGTGAACAGAATTGTGGATACAGAAACCTCCCCAGATATATTCAATATTGATCTTTGACAATGGGGCCAAAAGCATATATTGGAGGAAGGACAGCCTGTTCAACAAGCGGTGGTGGAAAAGCTGGTTTCTATTTGCAGAAGATTGGAACTGGATCCTTATCTCTCACCATTTACTAAAGTAAAATCAAAATGGATCAAAGATCTAAACTTTAAAACAGATACATTAAACCTACTGGAAGATAAAATCCCAGTAGTGATGGGATAAAAGGGGCAGAAAGATGCTGTTAAAGTCCCTTATGTTGCTTTGCTACCATTTGTCTGCCTTGAACAGTTGCCCCTCTGCCACCTTGCCCTGGAGCCTGCCAATTATGGACTGAAACCTCTATGAATTGTGAGCTAAATAAACTTTTCTTCCCTTTAACTTTGGGTGTTGAGTATTTTGTCTCAGCAATGAGAGAAAAGTGACTAAGACATGTGTTATCTATATATAATAGAATACTACTCAGCTATAAGGAATGACAAATTCAAGAATTTTGTAAGAAAATGGATGCATCTGGAAAATACAATGTTGAGTGAAATAAACCAGACACACAGGCTTAAAAACCGTATGGTATCTCTCATTTGAGAGAGGCAAAGTACAAAGAAAATAATAAAAGATGAATAAAAAGGGACAAGGGTATGGATCTCTTGCAATAAGGAAGAGGTCCAAGTGAACAAGGGTGAGGGATAAGGAGGAAGGGAAGGGAAAATAAGAAGAATAAACATATGCCATAACAGGAGCCTAACGACCCCAATCAATGTAAATATTATACGGTCTAACATGAACTAAGACAAACAATACCAACAGGAATAAAAAGTGGTGTAGGAAATTGGAGGAGGAGGGAGAGAGAGGGAAGGGTAAACACGCAGTAATATGTACATTAACCATTCCCCAAGATGACTGTACACTAATTGAACTGCAAACATGTGCAAATAAAATAAAAAATGAAACAATAATAATAGTACATTTTTTAAATTAAAAAAGAAAGGAAGAAAAATCATTAAACATGGAAATAACAAAGGACAATTCTTCAGACTCCAAAACCAGTGAAGAAGAAAGAGGAAAGTAAAAGAAAAGAAAAGAAGAGAAAGAGTCCAAAACTCAAAAACCTTTCTTTGTATATTTGAATGAGTACGTTTATTTTTTTCTTTTTCTTTCTTTTTTTTCCCCTGGATCTGTGGTTTTGGAGTGCAGCATTTCATGGTTTGCTTTGCTCTTTCCTCCATTCCCTCTGCTTACCCCAGGTAGTGGCAGTGTCCAGGCTGAGACTTGTCCTTGCTTGTGCAGCTAGGGAAGGAAGGCAGTCAGACCCCAGATCTGTGCTGAATGCAGGTAGAAGGGAGAGTGCTCAAGTACTATGAATTGCTGACACTTTCAGACCCATTGCAACTCAAGCTTGCCCTGACCTCCCTCTTCTGGGAACTGGGTTTATGTCCTTCCTGCCCCAAGTTCAAAGAGCTCATAGGGTCTCTTTCCAGCCTGATCCCTGTCTGCAGCTGTCTCCTGTGGCTCTCACCCAGACACTGTGGGAGGGTAACACTGGGAAGCCTGCAGTGAACCAACTGTTCCGAGTCGCAGTTAAAGCAATTAACCCCTTCCCAAAATGGCACCCAACCAAGTACCCTCCTGCAATTTGGTGGGCACCTGTGCTGGGATCCCTATCCAGCTGTTGCCTGCTGTGTGGAGGGAATCCCTTTTGGAGAAAACCCCACGCTGTCCCCGAAGGTCACAAAAACCGCAGGCTCTCCCTGGAGCCCACATCACTGGCCCAGTGAGCTGCTATCATTTCTCTGGATTCCCAAGCACTCACCTTGCTTCTGCAGAACCAGGCTCCCCTCCCATTGAGCTGAGAACCAGGAGCCAGGGAGAGCATCCAGACTGTTTCATTTTCCTTCTATGAATTGTGGTCTGTCTCTTGAACTTCTCTGTTGCTCTTAATTTTCCTGTCAGTTCCTTCCCAATTCCCAGCAACCCGCTTCTCTTTTTTTCTTCCTCAAGTTGTTATTTTCCAGTATCTGGATTCTCAGTCTCAGAAAGGCTGAAATTTGTGGCCTCTCACCATTCCACCATCTTGATTCCTTGTCCTTGTTTTTATTGTACAAAGTTTTAATGTTTTATGCAGTAAAAATGTGTCTTTTACTAGCTTCTGGGAATAAATGAGAACCCAATGGGAAGAGAAAAGAGAATAAGACATTTTAAGTTTTACAGTTTGTAAAAGCATTTTATATTTAGTATATCATTCTAACATCTTAACTATAAGGAAAGTGTTTTTAAAAGCTTAGGTATCTAGGATCAGACTCATCCTCATCAGAGGAACAGGAATGAAATAAGACTTCACACATACCGCTTCATTGGGTGCTGACTCTAACATAAGTGGATAATCCTTTCCCCCTTACAGATGAGAGAAGAAACTAAGCGATTTGGACAGAATCGCTTAGCTTAGAGTGAGTATTATTATAATGTGTTTTATTCATCTGATAGGATTGAGTTTGAGCCCAGCCTGGGCAACTTAATGACTTAGAGATACACTGTCTCAAAAAACAAAATTAAAAAGGATTGGCAGGGCCCTAAGTTCCATCCTCAGAACTACCACAGAAAAGAAAAGAAAGGAATAAAGAGATAAAGAGAAACAGAGACAGAGTGACAGAGAAAGAGAGAGAGAGAGAGAGAGGAGAATGTATCTGGCCACTTTTTGATTATCCCTTTTTGTTTATTTACACTTTAAAAAAAGCATATTCAACACACATATTTGTCATTGATAATTCCAATATTTAAAGTGATTAAGGGTCTGATTCGTTTTTTTTCTGACATTTTTCAGGTAAACTACTCTTTCCCTCTTTGTGATAATTGTTTGTGAACTCATCTTTGATGGGAGTTTATCTTGCAGAATTCTTTGAAGCTGAAGACATGTTTCTCCAGAGAGAATTTGCATTTGTTTCTATCAGGCACCTGAAAGCAATACAAACTCAGGACTACGTTAAAATAAAACTCACTCTAAGGGCTGTTGGGAGCTAGATGTGATACGAATTCATTCTGCAGTTCCTTCTATGAGCTAGCTAAAAGTAATGAGTTCTCAGGGTGTAGTTATCTTGTGAGAGCCAAAGCTACAACAGGCAACTTTTCTTTGTGAGACATGGTTTTCTTTGGTAATGATATTGGCAGGGAGGTGGCACACTGGCCTATGAGTCAAACTATCCCACTGCCTGTTTTTGTTTTTTCAAAAAAGTTGGGGTTTTTTGGTTGTTTTTGAAACAGGGTCATGCTATGCAGTTCAGGCTGGCCTTGAACACACTGTGTAGCCCAGCTTGGCCTCAAACTTGTGGTATTATTCCTGCCCTAGCCTCCCAAGTGCTAGGAATACAAGCAAAAAAAGTTTTATTAGAACACAACTAGGCAGGCCCCTTTGTTTACATATTCTCTATGATGCTTCTGTGCTACAGTAGTGGAGTTGAGTAGTAGGGACAAAGACTACAACCTACAAAGCCTAGGGTAATCATCATCTTCTGGTCATTATAGAAAAAGTCTGCTGACTCCTAGTGCAGACCTTTGTTTTTCCAGTTGTGTAGGGGATTCTCTGATCTTGCATGGCTTAAATTACCAAGGATACAAAGCTGCTTTATTGAGAGACTCCAAACACAGTGCCTTAAACAAGATCATTTATTTCTTTTTCATATCATGGTCCAATTCCATGGACCTGTCCAGAGCTGATGGCACTGCTCAGTGGATTCGAAGGCCCAGACTCCTAATTGGGTTGTCTGCCAATGTGAAGTAACAGCCTTATTAGAATGGTTCCGTGTTTTTGGCTTCCAGCTCATGGGGAACGGGAAAGAATCCGATCCAGAAGTTGCATCCTTTGCCTCTGCTCATCACACACTGGCCAAGACCTAGTTACACAGCTGTGAGGTGGGCTGGCCTGTGTTATGGATAGGTGTCATGCGCTCAGCTAAAATGCCCACTGGTAGAGCAGAAGGGGAGGATCTGCGAGGAGACGGCACACTGCCCCAGGTTGTCTGCAGTTGTCTTCTCTACAGCTGCTAGAATCTTCAAGTCTTGGATTATTGACGTTCTGCTTCTGCACTGTCTCGCTTACTTTTGCTGTCTAACAGTTTACCTTATGTCTTTCCTAAGTCAGCTATATACTTAAAAGATGATTAGAAAATTTTACCCATCATTTTCATGTTTTGTAATAAGACTTTTTTTAAAGGAGATCTAATCCAAGCCAAAGGCTTTACTTTATGACTTATGTTCTATGATGGAACTTGCTTTCTGTGTTTTTATAGGCTTATTAATGACAAAGAGTGACTCTTTTGAATCACTGTTTCCATCTCTGTTCGCTGGACAAAGAATTGACCTAAGAACAATGTTCTTTTAAATAATTGAGCCAAAACCAATAATGTGCTGGCTTTTTATCCCTTCTGGCCTTATAAAGAATTCCTTCTGTTCCTATGTAGTGTTTTATATGCATTTGGCCTAGAACTAGTGACTCACCACTTTTAAAATCCTTTGCTCTTTGAAAATAATTGACATATTTAGTGGGTATTTGCAGTAAGGTAACCAGGAGAGTTTGGCAAGTCATTCTTCCCTGGTTGAGAAATAGTACATTCTATGTTGTCCAGAATGGTATCCACTAACCACACTAAGCACTTGAAATATGGCAAATACAACTAGGAACTGAACTTTTTCTTTTTTGGTACCAGGGATCAAACTCGGGTCTTTGTGCTTGCGCAGCAGGCGTCAAAACCACTGAGTTAAATCCCCGGCCCTGGAACTGAACTTTTAATTTTTTTTGAACTTTTAATTTTCAATTTAAATTTAAAGCTTGACACGATTCAAGTTTTAGGCAGCATTTAAGTTTGTTTGGAACAAATTGCATATAGCAGTCTATTTTCAGTAGTAAATTTTATAAAACCTAAATGCAAATCAAATAGTTTATAGGAAAATTTAGCATCCCAATTGAGAATTATTTAGGTGTAACATTCACATTGGATTTCAAAGATGGTGTGAAAAAAAAGAATGCAAAACATTTTGTTAGTATTTTTATATTGCTGTCACATCCAAATGATATTAGGGGAAATAAAATAAATTAATTTCATGTGTTTAGTATTGTCTTAATGTCTTAGTATAAAATTTAAAATTCTATAAGTAGCTCACGGTATGTTTCTGCTGGGCAATTCTGCTTGCGATGGTACTTACCATGCTCCTGGGATCACTGATGGGTTACATATACCTGAAAGAGGAATAAATCGCAGATATTAAATTTACTTCTTTTAAAATATTTCTTACATCAGTTGATTAAACAGCCCATCACCTAGTATCCCTGCTTTCATTGTCCTCTTGTATCTTTGTTCCTTATGAGAGTTCCTACAGTGATCTTTTTGAAATGCAAATAAGATCAGATGGACTCATCCTCACTGCTCTTCGTTATTCTAAGCCCTTTCACATAAGATATAAGACTTTTGGTAGTCTGGCTCTACTTTCTCTGCCAGCTCTTTCTTCTAACATTTAGACTAGGCTACTCCAGAACACTGCTCTTTTGTACCACTTTGCAGGTTCGTTTCATATCATTGGTTATTTCTTTTCTCTGGAATAAATGTTAACCTTTCAGCGCCATCTTATCTTGCCCTTCTCCAACTCCTCCAGTAAAGTTAAATGGATCTGCTTCACACTGGTTGGACTTTTGAACCTTAAGGTACAGGCTTACCATGTTATAGGTTTTGTTATTATTGATAGTGTGTTTGTCAGCCATATGACGGTGTAATTCCAGGAGGCCTGTCTTGTTATTTACTTATTTAATTTGTGATACTGAGGATTGAACCCAGTGTCTTTGCACTGAGCTACATCCTCAGCCCTTTTTATTTTTTTAAATTTTGAGACTGGGTCTTACTAAGTTGCCAAATTGCCTGGGCAGTGCCTGAATTTGTGATCCTTCTCTCTCATCCTCCCTGAGTGCTGAAATTACATGCATGTGCCACCATGCCCAGCTTGGTTTTGTCTTTGTATCATCAGTATTTAGCATCAACTTGTATTCTACAAATATTTACTAACTGGACAATTAATGTAGTGGAAAAAGAGTTGATTCAGTGACTTCTCATGACCTTTTCCAAGGCAGGAATTGGAAACATACTGCTAGGGTTAGGATTTTAGCATTACCGCTTGGTAACTACTTGACCTTGGCTGAGTTATTTAACATCTTTGTACCCCATTAATAAAATGGAGGTAATTACTCATCTTAGAGGTTGATTGTGAGCATTCAAATGAGCTAGCATATGTAAGGTGTTTAAATACGTTCTCTGTACAAAGTAAGCAAAATTAACTCAAATATTAACTTAATAAATGTTAACTTATTGTCAAATACAGTCTAAACTTTTTTTTTTCTTTCTCTCAGGCCACAAATCAAAGATTTTAACTGGATTTCGAGAACCTAGCGTTACGGAAACCAATGAGCTAGGAAGAAAAATCCAGTTCTGAGCAGTCATTGAATAAACAAGTATCTACTTGGCAACAAACTTCTGAAATTAATTTTGTGAATCTCATTATCTAAGAATAACATATGATTTAGAGTGAATTTGGTTAAGATGCTTAGAATTCAGAATAGAAAATCTGACTTTGATGTTAGAGAATAACTTAATGGATCATGTACTGGGAGTATTAAAGGAGTTGAGAATTAGGTCATGAATTCAGGGTGTATAATGAATTATGGAAAATTCAGAGATGAAGGAAGAAAAGCTGATACAAAATAAAACTGACCCAGTATAGTGTATTAAATATTTATTAATTTTAGTTATACAACTCTTTTTAAAACACTTTTTTGAGCTGCAATTCACATATCATGAAGTTCACTTATTTGAAGCCCAAGATTCAATGGTTTTCAGCATGTTCATAAAGCTGTACAATATCATAATAGCTGAGTTTTAAAATATTTTTGTCTCCACAAAAAGGAAGATTAGCAGTCATCCCTCCTTCTCTGCCACTACCACCTTAAGTCCACTTTAAGCAGGCAACCATTTATCTGTTCTCTGTAGCTTTGGCCATTCTGAATATTTCATATAAATGTGACTTATTTTCTTCAATTAGCATAATGGTTTCAGGAGCCATCCATGTTGTAGCATATAGCAGTATTCATTCCTTTATATTGCTAAATAATATTTGATCGGATGGATTTAACAACACATCCATTCATCAGTTGAGGAACATTTGTATTGTTTCTACTTACTGGTATTAGCAGTGTTATTGCTCTGAATATTCAGGTAGATATTTTTGTAGGCAAATTATTTCAGTTATCTTAGGACGTATACCTAGCAGCAGAATTGCTAGGTCATACGGTAACTAACTATGCTTAACATTTTGAGGAACTGTCAACTTTTCAAAAGTTGCCACACCATTTTACATTCTTTTCTTTTTTCCATTGGTACTGGAGATAAAATCCAGGGCCTCAGACATGCTAAGAGAGGCTTCCACTGCTCAGCTACATCTCCAGCCCAATATTTTACATTCTTTCCAGCAGTATATGAAGGTTCCAATTTCTCCATATCCTGTTATTGTTTGTCTTTCTTATAGCCATCTTAGTAAGTGTAAAGTGGTATCTCACTGTGGTTTGGTTTATATTTCCCTAGTGATTAATCATGTTGACCGTCTTTTCATGTCATGTGTTGTTAGTGTCATTTGCATACTATGCAGCTTATTATTATGCATACATCATCCCTGTATTCATTCTATTAGTCAGCAATTATTATGTTTCATACATTTTTTGAAGTGTTAGAATAATTAAGTGAACACATCAAACAAAATTCCAGCCCTCATGGAACATATATTCTCGTTAGGGAAATAGACAATATATAAAATAAATAAGTTAAACACATGGAATGTTAGGTGGTGAGAAGGGCAATGGAAAGAAATGAAGAAAGAGACTGCTGAAAGTGAAACTCACAAATTTAAATAAAGTAGGTAGAGAAGGTCTAAGGAGGAAGGTGATGTTTGAATATAGACAAGAGGACACAAAGGAGGGATCTGTTCAGAGACAAAGAGAACAGGGATGAAGAAATAATCAACTCCAAAGCTCCAAAGCAGGGCGATCCACTGGCCCATCGGAAGAGCATCTGTATAGCTATAATTGGAAGAAGAAGGAGAGTAAGAACAGGTGGGAAAAGAGAGGTAAGAGCAGACTGGACCATAGTGAAGACTGTGGTTTTCGCTTATGTGAGATCCTAAGGTTTTGAAGGATTTGTACAGAGAAGTGACATGACCTGTTGGAGGTATGCAGTACATGTCTTTGATCTGTTGAGAAGGTTCTGTTCTACTTCTAGTCTCCTGATAGTTTTTACCATGAACAGCTGTAGAATTTAGTCCA